CCCACACCTAACTCTGCCCAACCTGCCATATCGGGCAGCCACTGCTGAGTAAACGCTCTGGAATAGACCTTAGAGTGAGAATAAATCACCTCTCATGCCATGTTCCCTCCAGGTGAGGACTGAGGTCATTGCAAGAGGCATAACAAATAGTCGACATAATGTACCAAACTAATAGATTCTATAAGGAAAACTAAATGGAAAATTTTTCTTGAGCACTAGGCACCTTTGGCTGAAGAGATAGCAGAGCTGGTGTTATTATAGATGTAGTTGAATCAATAATACTTTTTCATTCATTTCTTTTTCATTTCAGAAAAATGCCTACTTTAACCAGCAAAGAGGTAAGGAGATATTATCAAGGGCAATTTTTCATTCTCACATGGATTATATTCTGGGACATTGTTCTAAATGGCCCCATTTGTTTTTTTTCTTCCTTCTCTCTCAGAAATGTATTCAATTTTCTTCCAGCAGCGTGGATTCATCTGGAAAGCTATGACAATCAATTAAGTAAATGAGGAAATAGAATGCTTGTAATGATGGTAATCAAGCTGTATGAAACCCACCCTCTTAGGTCTGATACCCACACATTCTTACACAGATTAAGCAATAATTAATTAAGCTTGGGGTAATTGTTAAAAATAGAAAATAGAATCAAGCTTTTATAATTTTAAAAAATTACTCAGAGAGAAAAAGAAATATTTGAAAAATATATGCAGCTGTTGGTTTTTACTGCGATTCATGAGCATGAATATGTTGTTATTCCCCTGGATGCATGGAGACAATTCCAGCCCACCTACTGATGTGACTCCTCACATACAGTTGGAGGAATTTGGTATGTAGCACTTTTTTTAGATGTTTCCCTGTTCCTTGAAGTAAGAGGTTGACAAACTCTTCCTGTAAAGTACCAGATAATAAATATTCTAAGCTTCAAGAATCAAAATTGACCGGCCAAGATGAAGGTGTAGGTGAAAATACTGTACCTCCTCGCACAACCAAATTTAAGGACAACAAAGGTTTAGAAACAAAAACATAGCCAAAACAAATAGAAGATTGAACTGTACCAAAGTCCGACAACTATGAACCATTCATCCAGACCAGTAAGAGGGGCGGAGTCAGTAGCTGGTGGAGAGGGGTCTCAGCAGAAAAAGTGGTGGCTGCCAGACCAACACAGGCACACAGGCGGCAGTTGGCAGATCCCAGGCATGGGGTGGCAATGGGCAGACCCAGCGAGGGTGCAAGGTGGCTACCTGATCATGGTCACACATTCATATGCAGATAAACCAGGTGAAAAAACGGACAGTGAGACAGACCGCGCAACCCAGGGCCCCAGCACTGGGAAATAAAGCTTAAAAACACCAGTTGTGCCCTGGCTGGTGTAGCTCAGTGGATTGAGCGCGGGCCTGTGAACCATGTGATCGCGGTTTGATTCCCAGTCAGGGCACATGCCTGGGTTGCAGGCCAGTTCCCAGTGGGGGACACATGAGAGACAACCACACATTGATGTTTCTCTCCCTCTCTTTCTCCTCTCTCTGAAAATAAATAAATAAAATATTAAAAAAAACACCAATTGGAAAAACTTTTGGGTGTTGAGGTGCTGGGAGAGACTCCCAGCCTCACGGGAGAGTTTGTTGTAGAGACCCACAGGGTCGTAGAACATACACAAGCCCACCCACCCAGGAACCAGCACCAGAAGGGCCCAATTAGCTTGTGGAAAGCAGCAGAGGGGACCAAAATCTGAGAGAGCAGAACAAATGCCATTGCTCCCTCTCTGACCCCACCCCCACATACAGTGTCACAGCCCAGGGACTGGGTTGCCCTGCCCTGGTGAACACCTAAGGCTCCGCCCCTCATACATAATAGGTGTGAACAGACCAAATCATTATAGCTCAAGCAGAAGAACAGCTCAAAGCCCCAGAGCCAATACTTCTGAGTGACCAAAATATAGCCAGCCTATCAGATGCACAGTTCAAAACACTGGTGATCGGGATGCTCACAGAACTGGTTGATTTTAGTTGCAAATTAGATGAAAAAATGAAGGCTACACTAAGTGAAATAAAGCAAAATGCACAGGAAACCAATAGAGATGGAAAGAAAACTTGGACTCAAATCAATGGAGTGGACTAGAAGGAAGAACAAAACAACCAAACAGAAAAGAAGGAAGAAATAAGAATTCAAAAACATGAAGAGAGGCTTGGGAACCTCCAGGACATTTTTAAACATTCCAACATTTGAATTATAGGGGTACCAGAAAGGGAAGAGGAAGAGCAAGAAGTGGAACTGTTATTTGAACAAATAATAAAGGAGAACTCCCCCAATCTGGCAAAGGAAATAGACTTCCAGGAAGTCCAGGAAGCTCACAGAGTCCCAAAGAAGTTAGACCCAAGAAGGAACACACCGAGGCACATCATCATTATATTATCCAACATTAAAATGAAGGACAGAATTCTAGAAGCAGCAAGAGATAAGGGGACAGTCACCTACAAAGGAGTTCCCATCAGACTATCAGCTGATTTCTCCAAAGAGACCTTACAGGCAAGAAGGGGCTGAAAAGAAGTATTCCAAGTCATGAAAGACAAGGACCTACATCCAAGATTGCTCTATCCAGCAAAGCTTTCATTTAGAATGGAAGGGCAAATAAAGTGCTTCTCAGATAAGGTCAAGTTGAAGGAGTTCATCATCACCAAGCCCTTATTATATGAAATGTTAAAGGGACTTATTTAAGAAAAAGGAGCTAAAATATGAACAGTGAAAGGACAGCAAACTCAGTTATTAACAACCACACCTAAAACAAAAGCAAACTAAGCAAACAACTAGAATAGGAACAGAACCACAGAAATGGAGATCATATGGAGGGTTAGCAACAAGGGAGTGGGAGGAGGAAAAGGGGGGAGAAGGTATATAGAATAAGTAGCATAGATGGTAGGTAGAAAATAGGGGGAGGGCAAGAATAATATGGAAAATATAGAATCTAAAGAACTTGTGACACATGGACATAAACTAAAGGGAGGGTGGGGGGGTGTGCTGGATGGAGGGGAATGAAGGGGGGAAAATGGGACAACTGTAATGGCATAATCAATTAAATATAAAAAAGAATCAAATTGAAGATATATGAAATACTTATACAACAAATTTCTAGTTTCTGCATTGGTAGAATTAAAAATAAAATAAAATTATAACTGAGTACATTTTTTTGCAATATATATCTACTAATGAGAAAGGTGAACTTCTTACTGCTGGCATAATATTTTGCTTAGTTGGGGTTTGATGTTAGTGTCCCCTATCATGAAATTGCAAATATTCATCATGAAACCATTCTTAGCTCCTGGGCAGCAGGCTAGAAGTGGTTCAAAGTGTGATTTGCTAATCCCTGCTCTTGGTCAGTATTCTCAACTTTGCCATGCATCAGAATCACCCACAGGGCTCATTGAAGAAGACTGCTGAGCTGCACCCCCAGGTTTCTGGTAGGGCATTTTACCCAGTTCCCACCTGATGCTGATGCTTCTAGTCTGAGACAATACTAGTAGAACACTGCTCTTGATGTCCATCCTTCTAAAAAGTCACACTGAATACAAATCTGTCTATTTTATGTTTTCATTTATCTTTTGAACTCTGAGGTACATGGGTAGTAAATCCAAAGTCAAATTTTCACTAAAAAGTTAAAGAAGAGCTATTTAGCTAGATTGGGATTGATAAAAAAAAAAGGAACTTTAGTGTCTTAAATAGCTATTAGTCTCTTGCTTACAAAGTCAGGCATCAGCAATCAGCATCCATTTATCTGCTATAACAAATGCCTGAATTGCATTTTTCCAGTCTGATCCAAGTTTTAAAGCAGTATGCATATTCTAAAGAATATATGTGGGTGAAACAGAGGAATAACAGTTTGCTTTAGATTCAACATGTACTAACTCACCAAGCACATTAAAAATTGAATGCTCTCTGGATAGAATTTATTGGTATGCTCAATCCATAGACTTTAACACAAAGACTTTCCTGAGAGTACTGAGGCAAGGGGAAAGGAAAATACCAGTTTCCTAAGGGCAGGCATGGCCCATGGCTTAGGAGGCCAAATCACCTCCGAGCTGACTGCCCTGGGCTCTCATGAAGAGCTCCTAATGTTTCGAACTATTACCTCTGTTGAGTTTGTGGAGAAGCTCATTGATACCAAGGCATCAGCTAATTGTAATGATCACATCTCACCAAAAAAATTCTTTCCGAAAAGAAGCAAAGTAGAAAATATGTTCTCCTTCTGTTTATTTGTCCCAATGGTTTAAAAAATCAGCTTTATGGATCTATAATCTTCCTCATGACAGATGGGCTTATACATTAGCATCGTGCTTTCAATCAACAGTTTACATTTCATGAGGAAGGTGAAGAAACTGAATGTAAAGATATCTTCAGCATCTAGTTGTCATTTTCAGTTTTATAACATTGATACAAAAAATAGTATTCTGATTAGCAGCTTGATTGGCAACCCATGTAACCCTAAACAGTACTACAAACCTGGAGAGTGCACTTTTACAGACAATTACATTTGGCGAAATAGTATGTACAATTCTGACAAATAAATACATAAATACAATCATCCATATATAACAATATACCTAAACATCAATTATCATCAACAAATATTTCTAGTAAATTACTTCTTTCATTCACAAGTTACTTTTGTTGCTTATAAAAACTACCTTCACCTTTTCAGAAGAAATGACATCATCAATTGCCCCACTGAATCCACATATTAGGAAAGGTAGAAAATGAGTCCCAGATGCTTTATGTAAATATTCCACTGTCTTTTGATAGAAGAAATTTGACTGAAAAACTCCTTCCTTAGCTTCTCTGCAAAGAGTTTATTTTCACCATGTCATATCATACAACGGGGTTTTGTTCTTCTGAATTTAATTCAAATTAAAAATGATCTTCAGTTTGATTCCCATTAAAAATACAATTATTGTATATTGAAACTGGCATTTGAGCCAATATAAAAGACACAGAGCCACAGAAACTAGCCAAAAAAGATTAACCATTTTTTTGCAAAATAAGTTTAAGAAAGAAAATGTACAGACACTAATTATTACTATCTTTTGTTTTCCAATGCAAAGTGAACAAAACATGTACGGGTAGTCGGAAGGTTTTTGTAAAAACTGCCTGAATGGCTCCTAGTACAATACTGCCTGAAATATTACTTTATGTCAGAGGAATAGTAACTTTAAAAAAAATGGCATCACAAATAATCAAAACCATAATTTGGCCAGTGTCATAAAATTAACAATAGTAGAAAATTAGAGCTTTTTCTGATCACTTGACTTAAACATTTTTTTTGAACGAAGGGCAAACATGCTTTAGGCTATTGGAACTGGGCAAATGGCCTTGCTTCCCCAAGCCCCATGCAGAAGAACATGTACCCAGCAAGCACAGTCTAGCTATACATAAAGTTGGGGAGAAGAAAAAAATGCCTTTAAAATATATACATATGGTCTTGGATGAATATTTACATGTTTGTCACATGGGCACTACCTAGCATAAAAAAGTTAGGAAATACTTCTTTAAGACATGATTCTCTGATTTAAGCTCCTTTTAAAGAGTAGGGCTCTCTATTCATAATGTACACACATACACACACACCCCAAAATTCACAGATGTACATGTATGATGTTTATAATACATAATTCCTTGACACCAATGGTGAGCATAAGGTCAATGCAAGACGGCAGTATGAGACAGAGGCTTAACTCAGCCACACGACTGAAAGGCAAACCAAGTACAAAGTCATGAGAGACTTCTGCAGTGATCAGAACTCACAGCAGTCAAAGGTGGGGCTGGAGGGCGGCTCACCTGTGCTAATCCATCTCTCCCCAGGCTACCCGATGCTGTCTCTAATCAAACTCAGCAGTACTGCTGACTGTAAGATGAAGCTGTACTAAAGGACTGAGAGGCCTGTCGTCTAACATTGGGCTTTTTTGCACTGGCGATAAGAGATCTAGTGTTTTCAGGAAATAGGCCATATCTTCCATTTATTAATTTTTTTCTACCCCTTTGCTATCAACTTCTACAGGGGGGTTCCAAGGGTTAGATTAAAACAAAAGTATACTCTTTCAGTTGTGGGCCTGTTTTTTTTTTTTTAGTGAAAACAGTTTTCTAATGAGTGGTAGAAGATGTGGAATGTGTGGGTGCACTGAGAGTCTATCCTTCTAATAGAAGTGGGCTGGCTCGACCCATCCTCAGAGTTCTGAGAATTCAGATCAAGTGTTTCCTAAGGTCTAAGTTGATGTGATACCTTTTGCAAAGCAGGTGCTTCAATTGCCCTAATACACCCCTGGCCAGAGGCCCCTCCTCAAAGAAAGCCAGCTGCCTTCACTCTCAGTACCCTAGGATATCAAGGCAATGCATTGACACAATAACTGATTCACTAAAACCAGAAGAAATGACAAAGAAATTGAAGCTTCCCCAAGCCCCTAACACTTCCAAGGGAAAGTCTTAGAAGAATCAGGTTCACTAATAGTTCATATTTGATCTTTATTTTGGCAGATTTTATACTAAAATGATGTCACTACTACTTCTGACCATCATTATAATTATATAACTATTTTAGCATTTAGCATAATGCATCGTACACTGCATTATGTAGCACCTTTTAAACCAAGGATCTCAAAATACTTGGCAAATGGGATTTGCTCTCACAGCACCTGTGAGGTAGGTGTTTTTTTCCACCATTTTGTAAATGAGCATGTTTGAAGCACAGTAAGGTAAAGATGATCCAGCAAGGATCCTGCTCACATGATCCAACAAGTAGGATAGCATCAGTAGAACCTGAAGCCAAGCTTCCCCCTCTTTTTTCCCATGAACCTCAATTCTGGGGCCGTGGAACACCTCCTACCAGCATGGCTGCTAGAGGTACTTGGATGTTTGGATATTAGAGAGTATTACATCTATCAACTGTAGAGATAAGTCATTCATAACATTGGTATCTGTTAAAAGATTTTCGTACACACTTTGCAAATGTGTGTGGGGGGCATCTTACACTATTGCTAAGCTTATATTAATTATTATGCATATTTGATTTATATTCTCTGATTTATTGTTCTTCTGGCCTCCCACCAGCTTAGTTCTACACATGTGCCTGCCTGAGACAGAAAGTTTAATATGCACTTAGCGACATGGTATGGAGGGTAGCAGGTAAGATTACATTTGGCAAAGTCTACTTGGAGGCACCAGGTAATGTTTGTTGAATGAGCAAGCAGATTTTCTTCCAAACATCGAAAGTATTTGATTCTCAAGTTAAATTTCCATTTACTTAACTGTAGCCTCCCTGCCAGTGCTAAGTTCATTTCTTGTTGGAACCACCAATACTGTGCATGATCTGTGGGAGTAAGTGTAAAAATTCACACAATAGCACACTGATACTAACACTCACATCCAGTGTGTCTTCCTGACTGTGCATTATTTCTGAATTGTCTTTGAAAAGGAACTTTGTTAACTTCTGCAGAGATGCTATGAAGACATTACTGTGAGTTTCATTTCCCAGAACCAGATTTTTATCTCAGATGCAGAGTATGTAAGTCCTAGCAGTTGTTAAGAAGTTGCTTTTTGAGATCAATGCAAGACCTTAGGACCTGAGAATAAAATCTGGTGCTTCTAACTTACATGTTGTTTCTATGATCAGAGCCTGACATTTGTAAGTTGATAATCCAAGAAAGGAAATAGGAGCGGGAAGAAAAAGCTTTGTACAAAACCCCTTCACCAGTTCACTTCTGGTGACACTTGTAAAATACCAACACCTTAAGCCCCATTTCTTAAAAAAAGAAAAGAAATGTATTTACATAGGTAAAAATCCTAACATCTGAGATGTTTCTTGCTCGACATGTCATTCCAGATTCTGTGCATTTCTTCTGGAGAGATCTGATGCACAGTGATAACTCGGCGGTACCTACACAAACTATAGGCCATTTTCCAGTGATTGAAGCCACTGTTCTGAAAAGGATGTATGCCCAGCTTTCGGAGACACAGTCCTACATAGACATCCTCAAGGTGAAGCAGCCTTGTGTGGAGTGAGGTCTTGTAAATGAGTTCTGCTACATCGGCTGAGAAGATATAGCCAGTCCCTGAACAGAATGGTGGGTAGTTACTGTCAGGGTACAAATCCCTGGGCATATACCACTTACTGCGGACATCCCGGATTGGCCCTCCATTGATGACATAGCCAGTAAAATACCTCCTTCTTGGCTTGGTTGAGGGTTTTAGTAATTTATAAATAAGGTTGTCCATGTTTACAAAAATGTCACTGTCTGTCTTCATGACATACTTGGCTTTTGAACAAAACGTGGCCACCCATCTCATGCCCATTAATGTTTTGAGGGTGAGATTATGGTAAGAGTCAATGAAGTCCTCCACGATAATGTCGTGGAAGATTTGGCTCTCTTGCTCCACCATCTGATTCAGAACTGGATCAGCGTTCTTGCCCAGGAGGAACAGAGTGGCTATCTTGATCCCTTTAAAGTTGTTCTCATCCCCCCATGTCTCTCGGATTGCCTGGCGGGCATCAAATTCTTTGTGGGTGGTGCTGATAAGAATAACAAGGAAAGGAATGTTTTTATCACATTTGTTGGGCTCATTTATAAGAAATTCAAAAGAATGTGGGTTTATAGGTCGAGTTCTTATGTTGCCAAATGTGAAGTTCTTCCTGGCAGCTGTCAGGTGGCTGAATGGCTTGGAGCCAGTGTAGGAAGAAGTAGGACGAGTTACACTCAAGTACCAGAGAGCACTGGCCCAGCACACAACTGTCAACACATATAAACAGGAGACCTTTGAAGCCATGGTCTTGAGAGCACGTCTATTCCAAACACTGAAGAACACGCCTTCTTGGCATTAGTTTCTTTTCATCTTGCAAAGGTAGCATATTACTGGTTACTCTTAAAGTCTGACAGAGACGTGTGAGTGCGGGATTGTCCATGGGTCTCAGAGGCGGTCTGGTATCTCTGCATGTAGTCTACTTTCTTCCAAATCTGAGGGAAGGTGCCATGCCTCATAGATCTTCCTCTTAACTCTGCAAAATCAATAAAGTAAAGTTGTTCAGATTTATGTAGTCATTCATATTCTCAAATAAGCATAATAAGGGTCTAAGAATTGCCCACGATGATGAAAATAAACATAATGATTCACTTCCATCAGTACTGAAAACTTCCTGACACACCCATCCTCCCTATTCTCTCCTAGATGGGACAGATTTATGGGTAATCATACCCCACAACAAGTACATAGATTATAAGCTCTAGCTGAATATGAAGTCAACTGAACATTAGTAACTAAAACTAGTTTCACGCTATTTACAAGAGGCCATCTTTGTGGTTAAACACTTTCTGACACTTCTAACACTTTCTAACATCTTCTTTCGAGCAGGGAAAACTCACACATGGCCTCATATCTCTCTTCCATTTTTCCACCTCCGAGTTTTTGTTTGCTTGACTCCGATGAAGCAGTCAGTTCTCAACATCTCTTTGCTGTCTCTAGCCCTGAATCTGAAAATGTGTTGGTCACCATTGGAAAATCTCTGCTAAAACTGTCTCCTGTGGTTCAGACTTAGAAGCAGTTCCCAACTCTTCCTCACTTTTGCTTTACTTTGGCTCTCTGAGGCATCACATGGCGAATACCTTTACTCCTCAAGCAGGAAATGATCACACAAGCATCTTTTCAAACAGCTCGCAGCATTCATTTTGGAGTTGGTCTAAACCATACCACTTTTTGTGGTCTTCAACAATTCACCCTTGTGTTTCTTTGAAGACATTATACTGCCCCTGTTAAATTCTTTTTCCTTGGTTACACTGCTGTAAACACATCAGGCATATGTGAGGGAGACAGCTGAACTTGGGGGCCACAAACTCAATGGAGTTGTGACCCAGCACTTTAATTGATGTTTGAATAAAAAAGCTGTTCTTTGGGACTCAAATTATTTCTAGAAATTTAGCTGCTATCCCACCAGTTAAAAATGTGCCAAGTTACAGAGTCCATTCATGTAAGAAATTGTCTTCCTTCCAAGCTAGAGCAAAATGGGTGGTCCTGGAAGACAGCGAGAGCAGATGAAGAATATCGATTTCAACAGAGTCTGCTTCAAAGAAAACTGTGCACCTAAATGTAAAGACTGTGTGGAAGAAATGTAACTGGGATTACAGACTGAAAATCATGCTTTTAAGCACAATAGTCATAATGAAATGAAAAGACACGATGGACAACAGCAGAGATAATACACATCCTCTTGACTAAGCCAAGAGCTGACTATGAATAGATGGTCCATGTGAGGCCAGCGGTAACTCAGTGGGGTTACAATTTTAACTAAATGAATACTAGAATGGCTTCAAGCAGCAGGACTCCAGGCTTCTCACCTTGGGGTTTACAGATACCACCTCCATTTGAATTCCAAAGGGATGTGAGTGAGTCTCTAGAGGATACTAGAAAGAAAACTCTCTCCACAATTATTCTACTCAGATGATTCCTATTGGCTCACCTTTACCATCAGATAGCCCATGCTGCCTTTCACACTTTCCTATTAAATTGTCAGCCACTTATTACTAAGCTGTTCACAAACCCAACGAGTCTGTCTCACGGGCAAGAGACTCTTGTCAAATTTGCTACTGGAACCACTAACCAGGCTATTAATGGAAAACTAACGGTGTGTGACAAGTATTGGAAGAACAGAAATAGAACCTATGCTCCTCGTCAAGGAGTTCATAGTCTTGAGGAGAGACTTCACATAAATGGTTTAAAATATGGGATAAAAATTCCCATCGCCAGGATGTCGGAGTCCATAGGAGAGGTGGGCTGGTGGACAGGACTGCAGGTGCAGTCCTGCAGATGTGCAGAGCACAACTCCAGGGGGTACCGCTCTCATGGACTGCAGCGGGAATCCCCTCCTCTGTCCCACCCTGGAGTCAAAGGATGCCTTAGCCCTGCGCTGGGGGGGATGCCATGGAGAAGTCAGAAAAGTTATCTGACTTGAATCTTTACAGACAACTAGGAATTATCTGGCTGAGCATTGGGCATTCTAGGTAAAGGGAACAGAATATTCAAAGGCATACAATGAGAGAGCAGGTACGTGCCAGAACTGCCAGCAGTAGAGTAAAGGTGATGTGGAGCCGGGTAGGAATGGTGGGTTTGGGGCTATCAGGATAAGTAGGGGTCAGAGCATGAGTGGCTCTCAGAAACTGCCCTGAGCTGGGTAGCTGGTTACCCATCTTTGTAATCTAAAGGGGGGAAGGGAGGGTTTTACCTCCCCCAAATCCTACCCATTGATTTCCATAGCAATTGATTCTTCCATATTAAGGACTTCTTTCTCCTATAGTTCTATGCCAGAAGGGTAGGCGACAGTTTGTTTTACCCCATGCCTTTACGTATGATTTTCTGGGGGGAGGGACTTCATAAACACAGGTACCTGGAGATTTAGAAAGAGCTAAAGGAGGGAGAAATAGAAGAGAAATAGGTGAGATCACGAATAAGTTCAGGTGCTTATAAAGACTTTCTATTGAAGAATAAGCATTCTCCCCTGGACAGCTAACACACGTCACACTGTTGTAACTGTCGGCCTCACTGTAACTGTGGAAGTGCCCCAGGCACTGCGCTGTATTCTGGGTCATGTGTCATGTATTTTACAGAGCTCCATTCCCTACAGTGTTACGAGAGGTTTCTCCATTTTACAGAGGATGGGACTGAGACTCAGGAACAGGATAAAGTAGCTTGCTCAAGCTCACACAGCGAGTGAGTGGTTCGTGGTCCTTTCAAGCTTCCCTAGGCCTGTAAGGACAGCAGGCAAAACTCTTGGACGGGAATGCCCAGGGTGGCAGGTCGCATCTGGGGCTGCCAGTCTCCCAGGGATCCAGAGGTTCATTTTCTTAGATGTGTGTTCACTGCCTGGATTTTTTTTCTAGTTCATTTTGGTTTGCCACATACCACACTATAGCAATTCTGTGGGGATTCTTAATCATGAAAAAATAATGATTGGCAAAGAACCCTTTAAAGCTGAAAGATGCTGCGGGTTGAGAGAGCTGCAACTGCAGAAGAGGTTCGGAAACACTCCGCAGCCCCCTGTCTCTGAGCTCCTGAAACACACACATGCCGAATAAATCTCTCTTTCTATTGACGATTTTCTTCAAACAGGAGCACAAAAGTAGGCACAGAATATCTCGGTCACTAGTAAATGCAAGTAATCGCCTATACAAACAGAGGGTTTGAAACGGGACAAGGAACCAGCCTAAAAGCTGATGAGCAGTCAATGATAATGATAACAGGATGCTAAAAATGTTCCTTCTGCTTGCAATGAAATATTTTCAGGTGACCAAACAAATACAGATACAAGCCTCTTGACCAGAACTAGTAATATAAATACAAAGACAAGAGAATAGCATGGTGCATTTAACTCTAAAGAGTAATTTCACATATGCCAGATGAAGTACTTGGTAATGGGCCAGCTGTCTGTGTTTTACTCCTTGAGTAATCCTAACTTGGTTTTCTGTGCCTCAGTAGCCTTAAGCATGAGGTAAGGGCAAAAATGGCACCTGCTTAATCTCTAAACAAATTACAGGGATTGATGACCATTGCCTATCGTTTGCATTTCTGGGGCAAAGGGCGGGATCTGAGAGGGGAAAGGGGATTATGTCAGCTCTCAGGTCCAGAGCACAGATATCAGTCAATTCATCTAAATACACAGGGTTGATGTCCATTTCTTTGGTTTGTTTGCCTAAGGTTAGTGACTACACTGTATAGATTTTTCTGCAAGAGAATTCTATTTTCTTTCCGGAAAACTAAAAGCCAAAGGTCCACTGCAAAGCAAAAGTCAACTGAAAAAGTTCTGGGGAAGGAATGGAGCGTCACAAAGCATAATCCTCTGGAGGGTCTCTCAGTTTTACAAGATTTAATGTATTGTTTAAGTGACATGTGACTGTATCAGCAAAATAGCAAGTTGCACATACAATGTTTGTCATTCCTTTTAGCAGCCCTTCCACAACCACAGACACTGATGACACATTAACTCGCCATCCATTAAATACAAATCCCTCTACACAGAAACATTTGCTTGAACACGTGAAAGATTTTTCCCTCAGGGGCCTTACTGTATCACAGATTGCCACATTCGCAGAACTCTCCGGTAACTGTCCACCTGCAGCTTTCAGGAAGTTAATGGGGCAGAATTTTCAATTTAAGAAGCACATGTTTCTCCTAGAAAATGCACGGTGGATAGTCTGTTATTCTGAGTAATTTATTTTTTTAAAGAGTCCCTAAATTTGCTAAAGTTCTATTGTATCGCCAGAGGTAAGTCTTTGAATCAGGTGGGCATTGTCTGTCTCTTGGGTGGCCTGTGCTTAGTTTGGGGTGGCAAGTTCTTGCCTTTCCCCAGTAGGGTTCAGTTAGGCATAAATCAACACTGGTTTTCTATGCCTCAGTTACCATTTAGTTGGCTTGGCGAATGTTGCCTACATTTTGTGGGCTAGGCTACAGGGCCCTAGCAAATGGCCCACTTGCACTTTCTGGTGCCTCAAAAAACAGTATCTCCAGGTTCAGATTTTTCTTGGATTTTCAAGTCTATTTCATTTGTTCATCAAAGACGTACCAAACACCTGTTAGATGCCAGGCACTGTTCTTACTAGTGGTAAGGCAGATGGGGAGCTTACTTTCTAGGAGAAGGAGGCAGAAAATAAAACAAGTGATAAATAAATACAAAAATAATTTCAGGTAGCAGTAAGTGCTGTGGTTCAAAAAACATGGAGGTAATAGGATAGAGACTGAATAGAAGTGGGAGGGTAGAGGGGGGCTAATTTATAAAAATAGGTCATTCTCTGAGGATGTCTTGCAAACTCTGGTTCTGTCTTTGTCTTTAAGGTTTTGTTTCTTCGGTTGGCTCTTTGGAATTAACGTTTTTTAAGACTTTTATTTATTTACTTACCTATTCTATTTATTTTTAGAGAGAGGGGAAGGGAAGGAGAAAGAGAAGGAGAGAAACATTTATGTGTGGTTGCCTCTTGCACACCCCCTACTGGGGATCTGCTGGCTGGCAATCCA